AATAGAAATTTCTCCCGGGCCGCACATGTATGCAAACGAAGGGATGCGCGATGACATATACATATAATGCGTTTGCGGTCCTTGACTACTGTTTTCATTATATAGAAATAAAGCCTTTTTCCGGGGACAGGGAGGCTGTGAATGTTGGAAGTAACTTTGGATTTGTTACACGGTAAAATGTGTGATCTCGGAACCATTTTATTTGCAAATAAAACCCAGCAACTCGGCATGTTATTTAGCAATTATATCCATATAATATGTGCGGCCCTGGAGTGCAGTTTTCATTATATATAAATAATGCACATTGTTGTATTGTTTTATATATATGATGACAATACGCCGATTGTACCATTATTGTGCAATTTGCATGGTTTATATACCATAGTAAATGATATAGTTTACAGAGGAAATTATTTAAAATTTTAAGTTATTTACATATAATTTCGATTACACTTACAGTGCAAACTTATGTATATATAGTGAGGAATTATTTCATATAATGATAAGTTTGTAATATTTATATAATGTGGTTATATGTATATAATATTTACATATAATGTAACCCATAATAAGTTATACTTATTTATATATTATGAGATACAACTAATTTCTTTACAAACATTATAAATATGACTTAAACATTAATAAATGTGTTTATTTATTATTTGTATATAATTTTAAATATTCCACTTATGAACATATATTGTATTAGTCATGCTTATTTATAGTGAGGATAAAAGTCTGTGAGTAGTTGTGCTTTATAAATGATAATGTTTATCTGTGATTTCAAAATTATTTATAAATAATTTGATCGGAAATGCATTATATCAAATAATTGTTATTGAAACCGATTATTTACAAATAATCTTATTCCGTGTAAATTTTAACATATAATATGATTAAATCATATAGAATATGACGTATAAATAAATTTACAAACGGCACCCCATACATATTCCGTTAAAATATATATAAAATCAAAATATTGTATATTACATTGTCTATTCCCATCGTTATTAATTTAATTTATGACACTAGTAGTAGACCTGAAGTGAGTTTGTTGTGTTGTTTGTAAGGGCACTTTGGGGCTAAAGACCCGATACAAAACACAGAAAAATTGTAATGTCAAAGATTGTTGATACTAGAAAACAGTATCGTTTAATCACGTGTAGTACCAATGTTATATTATTGGTATATTTTACTAATATCTGTCTGGTTACCCAATTTTTAAAAACTTGGTGTAGATATAAAATCGTCCCAACGTAGGACTGGTCAATAATCACAGCATTATTACATTGACTGCAGTGATTGAAATTTCTTAAAATTGGGTACCTAACACCAGCCCTGGATTTTGGGTGTTCCGCAGTCAGTTGAGAATTGGATACAAACGGACCGGCATTAAAAATGTTTGTAATTTTCGCCAAAACAGTGCCTTAATTGTTTCTATTTGATAGTCATGCACTCCAAGCACACAGACTGACCTTTTTTTAAGGACGGCAGTCATCGTGCCGCGTTCTGTTAGATATGGGACTCATAGCGACGTATACAACGCGTGTAAAATATATTGTTTATTTACATGAAATTCCAACACGCGCTGCGCGACGACCACCGCGCTTTAATAAAAGGAGACGACCACGAAGTTTAAGTTTAAGTAGTTTTTTCAAGAATAATCATGAATTTCATAATCATAATCAGAAGTGAGTGAGAATCAAAAACATTAGCAGTTCTTATTTATTCAAAACTGTTGTGGGACAAATATACTGTGAGACGAACCCGTGACGGAGGATGGATGCATGGATGTGTGTTTTGCCGTTATTTTAACTGAATATACCATACACAAAATGCTACCAGAACATCGGGTACCTACCTTTTTCTATTTACCAGCCCGACTGGAAAATACCCGTATCAGGCATACGAGGGGAGGAATTGCTGTCACTGAAATCAACTGTGGATAGACTTCGCCCACGAGTGTCATCGTATATCCCATACCCCATTATGTCAATGCATTGTCATCCACCGTATAAAACGGCCCAACATGGCGGTGGCTCGCGATTCAAAACTTTTGTGGGGAAAATATACTGTGGAACGAAACTTGGGCAGAAGGATGGATGTGTATTGGGCCGATTTTACTGTCCTGTCGGCTACCTTTATAGTACGAGGATTGTTTATGGTGTAATTTGCATTTTATGTTCATTATTATTGACGAAACTCGTATAATGATCTATAACTATAATGTTATATGCTGCTTGGTTTGTGTAATCATCAATAATATATACTTCAGTTGCGTTTTTTACAAACAAACGACAGAGTTGTTATTTGTTTTGTGTATACATTGAAGCATCCTCATATATCTGGTTGTAGGGTTACTTGTAGATTTATTTAAAAAGGGGAGTTATAATTCGGTCTTCGTCCGGAGTCATATTTCAGAATCATTTGGACCGATTCCTACCTTTCTTTGCATGTGCCTAGACATATGTGGGACATATGCACATGCAGTGGTTTAGCGATTCAAAATGGCCGACTGGCAGGCATCTTGTTTTTTGAAAATGTCGTATTTTGGACATGCTTTGTCAGTTTTCATTCAAGTTTGTTATATAGATTATATATATTAGAATGAATGTCATTGTTAATTTCGTTCGCAATTGGATCAAAGATGGACGACTGGCTGGCACCTTGTTTTTGTTCAAATGTAGTATCTTGGACATGCATGCTTTGTCAGTTTTCATTCAAATTTGGCATATACTTTATACATGTTAGGATACATGTCCATGACAATTTGTTTTAAAATCGGATCAAGGATGGCCGATTGACAGCCGTCTTACTTTTTGGCCTTACTACTATATTTCCAAGATTTATGTACATTTTAATTTGTAGTTGGTACATAAATCATACAGTTTGTTTCATAATCAGATCAAAGATGACCGAATAACGGCTGTTTTTATTTTTGGCCATATCTCTGTCACTAATGTATCATTTTCATTGATATTTAGCATGTCATAAATGGATACAAGTACATTTCATTTCTGGCGGCCATCTTGTTTGTTTGAAATGTGATAACTTGGACATGCTTAGACATTTTTGAATCGGGTCTATGCCTAGCTTACTCTTATTTAACGTATTATTTTGAGCTGATATTTATTGAAACTGCTAATTTTAGGACACTGCCTTCACCATATTCAACACAAGAGGGCGCTTGACTTGTACAAATGGTCTATTAGCCACTTTATCCGGAACTAACAATTCAAATATAAAGAGTTGCAATTGCTGTATTCCCTACCCCAGAATCTCAAATACGGTCATTGCACATATGTTAACATTGTAAGCCCCATGTAAAAATTTATTGTAGGGCACCATGGCAACAAGCATTCATATTCATGAATACATGGTAATGTAATTTTAGTGCCTCATTCCCATCCTCAGACTTGCATTTTTTTGAAACATACTTTAAACAATTTTAGCAAGTGCAATAACATAGACATGCACCTCAATTTGTTTTACTTTCACTTGTGATCTATGTTTTTCTTTGCTATGTCTTAAACCGGAGTTCGAATTTGATGTAAATAAACAATCTGTTGTATACGCCACTTACGACTCAAGTTTCAAGGACACGCTCGCGACAACCCCTCCGCTTTAATACGATGACGAGCACAAAGAGAACTTTCAAAAATTTAACGGGGACTGTGTCATTTTCGATGACTTGTTTATTATGAAAATTGCTATTGCTTTTTATGAGAGATTATTATTTTATGGTATTAAACTTCTCATTTAATTACATTGAGTAATCTCATATGATCCACAGATGATGTCAAAGTCGTCAACTGGTGTGTCACGCGAAACGAATAAACGGAATATGGCATTCGTGAAATCATATACAAATTTGTTATCACGTATTTCCATCTGGTGGCTCAACTGGTTGATTCTGCTATCCCATAAACAACCTTTGAAAATAGAAGATTTAGGATGTTTGCCTGAAGAATTTGAATGTAATTATGTGAAAAACCAATTTCGTAAAGCGTTGCTAATTGAACGGGTAATTTATATTAATTGTAGCTTTTGTATCTTCTATATAGTCCATAATAGACTAGATTTGATTTGTTCATGCTATATATGCTTCACATTAAGTTGGTATATGACTACTGCAAATAATACTGATGCATTTTGTATTATTATTATTATTTCTATTTTAATTTTATTTGTTTGTGTTTACTGAAGGTTAATGCAAATACTATATTGAACGTAGCAGTCCCCAATAAATGTTGTCCTCTACCAGCAACTTAATTTACATCATTCATCTACATGTTTATGCATCCGATGTACTCTTACTCGGTGTATATATATGTGTATATAGTTTGTGTATCTATAACCATAACTCTTTTGTTCTGACAATACTTCATAATATCATAATATAGGATAATAGTATTAAATATTCACAAACACCGTCGCTGTGGAGGATATGTTGGCGTCTATACAGCCATGAACTAATTGAAACAGGTGTTATACGGGTCATAAGTATTTTGAGTAACACTGTGCCACCACTATGCATAGCCAGAATTGTTAATTATTCTAGTCGATGGTTCTATGACACAAGAACAATGACCGTAAGTATCATAATGTATAGTGTAGAAAATACATAGTAATATTGCATAATTAGCACGAATGACGCAATTCTTACTAACCTGTTTCACTTTCATCTCTTCTTGCTATAATTCACAATGTTCACTTTAAATTACTTAATATACTTTTAACTGGACATGTTTAACACCTACTAATATACATTGCGCTGGTGCTCAATTGCCTTCCTAGAAAAACATATTTCTCATTACTCGTTAGAAATGTTCAATCAAAAGTGTGACCTATATTTATAGCTTTAGGGGTGGGCTGGATGTAAAACGCTGTACCGCATGACTTGATCCTTGTTGTGATGAGTGTAGATGGGAATTTATTCACGAGAAGTCCATCCCAAAATTATGCAAATAAGCTACCAACAATTATTAAACTGCTTAAATGACTTCTACATGGAATTGTTGGTACAAAATGCATTCTTTTCGATTCCTTCATAAAACCACTTGCGAATATTTTTATCATTTTCAGTTAATGCCATTTCAATATTTTTTGAAAACTAATAGCTCAATTACTTTGATACTTGGTATGTTTCGTAACAATTTGAGATAGCAATTGCCATAGCAACAACCATATAAACTATTATGGCTGTGATTTAGAAAATTGTGATAACAATAATCATGGCAAATCACTAATATATCACCATATGGAATATTATCAACTTTGTTTCGAGGAAGACACTAGAATTACCGCGCAAATTATTCTTCACATTCACCGAGTTTTGAAATGCACGTTCACGTGGCTGTTAATCTAATTCAATACAACTGGGTGTATAGCTGCATAGAAATATGCTAGACCTGATAAGGTTTTGGTGAAAATTCAATAAATCGAAAATCTATTAGTTGAATTGTTATAATGATTTGTGATAATGCGAAGCCCTTATGAGATTTTATATGTTATTAATATACTCCCCATGCAAAAACCATTGAGCGATAGGCCAATTGGTTTATTTTTACTGACTTTCGTCACATTTTCAGAACACTTCGTACGTGACTGTGGACGAATTTCTCAACAACGGATTTGTACTCGTAATGATAGTGTTTGTGTTCCTAATATTAAACTTGAACACTTGGCTGACAGCATGGGGAATGACTATGCACATTGGCATCAAAATGAAAACAGCGATACAGGTATGAATACAATGTACAAGGCGTCTGTTACGGCAACCGATGAGGGTAATGGCCAAGCTTTTAAAAAGTGCTATGTCTTTTGTTTTGTTTTTGTTACGTATTTTACGCATTCATAATTAAAATTTCATTTGCTTTTTAAAACTATTTTGTCGATATCTAATTTAATAAAATACGAGAACAAAAAATGAAAAACAAAAACATAACTCTTTTCAAAGAGCATAGCCGTTACCCTCTTCGGTTGCCGCAATGTCAAGTCATTTGAAATATGTGTATGCTATAACTTCGTATACTGTGAATTGCTTTAATTTAGCAAAAGTTTCATTTTAGTCAGTATAAGTCAGTGTGAAATATTATAGACAGTATTTTGTAATTTTTGTAAATGTTATAAAAATTAGTAATACTTAGATATATGAAAAACTGTAATCAAATTATTTTAGCATCTTTGGAGATTGTCAGCCGATGTTCAATCAGGTTAGGATATTCAACACATTAAATGGCTTTTTCGCTTGGTCAATAAAACAGTAGTTTATTTCGATTTTATTAATCATTACGCCGTATTTTATCCCTTTAATAGAACTTAGTGTATGAACAAACTTTACGAGCATCAACACAACTTGAAAAGCAGCTATTAATTGGACAGGCTCTCAATCACATGTCCGTGGATGCGGTAGCAGTGCAATGGTTCTTTCACTACTCCAGCATGATATTCGCTGCACCAATCCAAGTATGTCATTACATTAACAAAATTACATTTCTTCAATTCCGGGAGAGTTCATACCAAGATTTAGTATGTATTTTCTTTGCGATACTGTATACACATAATATAATAACTATGTTGGCATTATAAACGCTTAATTGTTAGATTTTAAAATATAACTGGTATTGTTCAATAAATAATTGCACTTATGAACAAAAAGGCAAGTATTGCAACATAGATCACAACGTCTAATAGCTTAGATAAATGATTGTATTTGCCTTAAATTTATCCTATGATACATAGATTTTATTTATTATTATTGGTATATCTATAGCGTCATGTTTTTCGAATATGAATATGAATAATCTTACTGACACTTTTATTTATTTGCTTTTATATCACTAGATTCTATTTATTTGTATCCTGCTGGTTTGGAAACTAGGTCCAGTTGGATGTGTTGGTTTAGGATTTGTAGTTATCGCACTGCCACTGCAGTTTAAAATCGCACGTGAACAGAGGATAGCCCAACAACAAACTATTGTAAGTT